AAAATTGGGGTGTTCGTATAATTGTGAACCGCACTGTATCACAATCGAAATGCAAATGTTAGACATGCAGTGGACTCGTAGCTGTTGCACTGCCAAGGAATCGCCACGACGAGATCGCGTGATGTCTGCCCAAGGTGCGGCGCTACAGCGGTAGATTCTTCGCGTTGATAAAGTTACCCTAGCTCATCAGTCCTCATGGCAGTGACTGTGCGGCGGGACTTCTTTGATAAGTCGCGCATACTGGCGCAGATTAGACACACATATTCCCCGGCGCAGTTCGTCGTCATCTAAAAGTATGGTCCTCCTATCGTTGTATGCGTACGCAATACATCCGTAGGATATTTGGAGAGCCGTCCAATTTGTACATAAAACTGGGAAACAGCTTCATTGCGAAATGTTTTTTGTGCTGCTGTTGTAGCGAAGCACTGTGTCGGCCATCGTCTTCCAGCCGATGCAAAAAAAGTGTATCGGTGATTCTAGGTTTTACTGCAGTCTGAGGCGAAATAGCGCCTCGTAGAGTGTGTTAGATAGAACATAAAGCATTGAAGCTTTATTGAACGAACAACGTGCACACGTTAGGCGCAACGGAAGAATGCTGCCGTTGGTAGGCGTGGTAATGAAAATAGATATCACACCAGGCTGCTTATGGTATGACCTTGACAGAACTTGGGTGAGAGAAAAGATATGGTTGCAAAGATATTAACAATTTCGGCACCTCTCGAAAAATCATCATTAACAAAGAATTAGCAACCATTGACGTGTGTGACTAACCTTTCCAGACGGTCACCATAGTGCCTGTTTAGGTATAAGCGTTTCGAATAATAACTCTTCTATCGGCCTCAATTGCTTTCACTGTTTAGGTCTGAGCAAGAATCATCACCCAAGCCGATGCCAAGATCAACTCCGCTGCAACAACCACGAAAGGAATTGAATACAGCATCGACACCACTTTCCAATGAGGATTCACAAGAATCGCAGCCACAGAAAGAGGATCAGCGGTATGAAACAGAAATTGTTTGACACATACAATCCGCCGCCAATGCTCACTGTTGTCCATTTTGGGTCTGAGCCGGTTCCAGCAGTTCCAATTCTTCGTACTGAAGCTGATTATGTATCAATAGAGGAGCCGAGTTATCGGTGAAAATTTGTCTGGCTCTTGTAAGAACATCAATTCAGCGCAAATCTTTCCAAGTGTCAATTCAGGCCAGAAGAGAGGCCACCCCTACCTGAGCTGCCACCGCCTCTACCACCGAAACCACGACATACAACACAGTAAGATCGTTTTTTACTATAGGAGAAAATTTTTTTATCTTAGCAAAGTGGATGGCGAGGATATCATTCAAGTACAAGGAAAAACCGAAACGACGACGACGGTGCGAGTAGCTGAACATCTGCTCAACGATCTTGATGCGGTTCTTGACAAAGAGGAGTTCCCACCTGGATCAAAAGAAAGATTGGAGATAGTTGCGAAGAATATCCAACGTCAGTTTGAGAAGAAAAAACCTTCTCATCCTCCAATCCCTTTCCTACATAATGAAGAGAGCAACAGTCAACAACAAGGTCAGGTCCCAGAAATCATTTGAACTCCACTCAAGATACCATCAAAGTTCCAGAGAAACAACAATCTCCTAAGAGCACTATGAGTTTGACGAAAAACCTTTCTCCTCCAGCTGCTCCCGATTTTAGCGATAACATCATAAAAGAGTTGCAAAGGTAAGATTTTGAGATTATTTTCTTTATGGCAAGTTTTTAACAAGCTACCATCACGCGCATTTTTGGTTGTCTGCCCTCTGGGACTAGGTCTCTCCCGTTTAGATTTTTCAATCAACTGCATAGACTGTCATCTAAAGTATACCTACAGTAACTCTCAGAGGGTGTCCAAAGACATAGCACTCATTTTCAAATGGCGGCATGAAAACCGAAGAAAAGTTACCAAAATGGTAATGCAAATTAAGCCATGATACCCCATGTGTGCCACGCTATCGTCATTGTGTCAAGTCTTTCCCCTCTCACCTTTTTATGCTACCATCTAGTTAGGCATATCTAGGTCTACGCTCTTTCGTTCTTTCCCAAGTGAAGCAACTACCTGTCAAGCCCAGGGATTCACAGGCCCTAGCTTGATGAGTGTAGCGCTATTACAGGTAGATATTATAGTATTTATTATCGAAAATATATTACAATAAGGGGGAAAAGGAGAAAGAGTGCAGAAGTAGCCGTCTGCGCAGTGTACGGGTCATCAGTACAGGTGTATGCCCTTCTATAATGCTCCGTCTTAGCGCCAATTACTATGCCCCGGCGCTAATTACACTGTCTTTCTTATAGCCTAGCAGCTTTTAAATATTTCTGAGCATTCCAAAGCAAGAGTGCATTTCCGAAGAATAAAGTGACAATGTTCGAATTGAGTAAGAATTTGAGAATGTTATAATAAGCAAAAATCTAGAAACACGTGTAACCTGAAAAACTACCTAAGCACCCACGCGTACGCGTTTTGAGTTTATGAAAAACTCGAGATCTTTATTGATTCTTCTCTCTGGGAAAGTATTGGCATAACTCGGCCAGTTGGGTCTCTAACGATACAGCTTTCTCTCCAGACGCCACCGCAGGCAGCGCCAACCAACCAGAGGAGCACGGTAATTAAGCGGCTGAGGCTAGCGGTGCAGAAAGACCATTTCCCCGTTACTGCTCCTGACTGGCTTCCGCGTCCAGACCCCGGAAGAGCAGCTGTAGCTGAGCTGGGCTGCATTCCGACATCTCCATTCCTTCATAAAGCTCGTCGACGAGCTTTGTTGGCTGTTGTTGAACGTTTCCGAGTTACGTGTATAAGGAGTACACCTGTTACGTCAAGACCATAGAGAACTTCGATTTCAGTACTATTGAGTTTAGATTGATTGAGAAGAGGAGTTGGTTTAGGCAGACTGGATAACCAAACAGTGACCGTCACCTTATGTAAGGACGCAGCTCAGTTCAGTTGCGTCCCTACATATCTAATGTAGTAAAGGAATTGGATTACCTAACGTAGTAA